TATATATATATAAGAGAATAGATATAGTATTTAGCTATAAAAAGGCCAAAAAGCATGTGTTTACTCTCTCGCTCGCTTTGTTGATGCGTGCGTTAGTTTTCTTGCTTGCTTGTGTGTGTGTGTGTACTAATCGCTGTTTCTCAACCCGTTGATTAACTAGTTTTGTTAGATTTTTGCTGAATGTCAATTTCATTGTAAATTGCAAGTGGCGGTGGCATTTTTGCAACACTAACAAAACAGACAACAAAATATATATACAAAAAAAAAAAAAACTAGTTGCAGTTGCTGCTTGGGGTGTTTACCATTTTCGCACGAAGGTCAAGTGCCTCCGTGATCGCCTCTCCTCTCCTCTGCTGTTAATGTATTTCGTGTGGCAGCACTAATTGCTTATTGCTTGTTTACTTTTACTTCGACATTTCGGTATTCGCATGTGCATTCGAAATGGGAGCGAAATTTAACGGTAGCTAGTCTATCTCAGGGGGGAAAGGATTGACAGCGTTGAAAGTCGCTTATGGCAGACATTTAGCAGGGAGGTAGTGGCGATAGACGACTGCTGGTCTCTGTGTGAATTTGCGATCAATGACATCTGTTCGCTAAATAATGTGACCTCTAGAGTCAACAATTAATATACAGCTGCTGGTTGATTCTATTAGCTCAAATATAGAGTAGTTGCACGCTAAAGACCCCTCTGTCTGCATTTTCGACAGCTAAAAGCTGAGATCTCTGCTGCTCTCTTTACGGCCATACTGGCTTCAGTATTCAAACCTTATGGCCACACTGGCAGCGACAAAGCTTTAGAGAAGGTCACGGCTATATTCGAAATAAACTGAAACGACAAGAAAACCAGACTTAAAACTCTTGTATTTGTGGTTTCTTCTGTTGCTGCTGCTGCTGCTGCTGCTGCTGCTATGAGAAGACATTTACTTTAATCGAGGTAACGTGCCAACGATCGCCATCTCGCTGCTCTAGACGGGCAGCTTTATGTGTGTGCATGTATATCTGTATGTACATACATATATACGTGCATAGATTTTGGCAGACATACCACTCCCTTTCAGTTACAATCAGTACTCACCGAGAAACACACACATTTACCTGCGCATACCGTAAATAAAGAGTTATTAACGGAAGTACATTCACCTGATCAGTTGAATGAACACGCGCAGCGCTGCTTTATGTTACTTCTACTTTTTATTTATTTTTCTCTTATTTTTCGCTTTTGCTATTTACGGCTGTCACATTTTATGGACAGCTGTTTGTTTTTCTCTGCTACTTTTTGTTGTTGTTCGCTACCTGTCGCTAGACCCACTCACGTGCAAACGTATCATGACTGTGGGAAGCACACGCTTGTTTGCATTTGATTGCATTTGTCTATCTGGCAAAGTGAGCTATTTAAATTGAAAGCCGCCAATCGCGCGTTCAAGTGTTACACATACTTGAACTTGTGCTGCGCATGCACAAGTCTCAAGTTGCAGTTGCAGTCACAATTTGCTATTATTTAAGACTCTTTATTTGGAGTATATTTAATTTGTTTGTTATTGTTCATGCAGGGGCTGTTTTCGGATTAATATTACAAATTTCAAACAAAAATCCTGATTGTGTTCATAGGTTTTGGTATTTTCTGAGTGTGCCGATGTCACATCGTTAATCGTGACTGTTATGCCATTGCTGCTCATCTCTAATAGAACTTGCAAAACCTGACCTGCCACATTTCGTTACTAAGCAGCACTACGGCTGTTTGTGTGCGTACAGGATGATCACAGTCGACTTTTTGCAGCAGTGTTTTAAAAGAATTGTATATTTGTAAAGTATTCAATGTTGTCTTGTAATGCTAAGCCGATCACTGCTGCATAGACTTTAGAGCTATAACATTTCACTGTTACTTCACCTGACCTACAGCAATTTGCACTGAACAACACTGCATCCGCTTGGTTTATTTACAGGACTTTAGCAATCGCTTTGCAGCACTGACCCAAAGAACAGCTGAACGGCAATGCGAACAATATGAACGGCAAAGAACAAGCAGCAGGCCGGGAATTTAAGCGCAATTCAAACGCCTACGCAAGCTTGCCCGCAACAACTAAAGTGAAACGTAAACAACAGCAGCAAGAACAACAACGACAAGAGCCGCTACGAGAGCCAGAAAGATATGGATTATCGCACAGTTTATCCAGCGAATCGATTAAACAGGCGTGCGGCTATTACGATGATGAGCCAAGCGATGAGGATCTGATTGAGATACAGCAAACGCCACAGAGTTTTTATCAACAACAGCAGCAGCATCCACATCCAATTAGCTTTCAGATGCCGCTGTCTGTTGACGATGAGCGAGATGCATTCTGTGACGTAAGCCAGGAACCACCCCTGAGTACGCCCATCAAACAGTCAGCCGTTGTGCCGGAAGAGGCGCTAAGTGTGTTAAATGAGCTGGATGCCATTCTCGATGTGCATGGTGCATCGCAGCTCAATGGCAACTGTAATTCCACTTCCGACACACCATGCTCCGATGACGACAAGGTCGAGGACTACCTCATGGACCTGGACAACTACCTGGAGGAGCTGGACAAAGAAGATCCCCTAGCCATTGGTGCTGGCCAGCCAAGCTTGCCCCACGAATCCGCACGCACACGTACCCTACCCCTAAGACGCAAGCGCAGGCAGCAGAAGCCTTCGTCAGAGGATGCGCATCCAGTCGTGGATGCCGAGTTTCAACGTGGACACCATATGAGGAAAACCTTCAGCTGTGGCCTAACGCCCAGAAGCACCAAAGGTAAATATCAAACACCGCGTACTAAC